GTTAATCCTTGGGGTTTCTAGGTATAATATCATGGTCAATCGCAAAGAGTGAGGAGTTTGTCTCTCTGTTCCCATTTGGACACCCTTAAGTTCCGCTCTCTTGTCTGATTGCTATATGGCGAGGACTTCCAGCACTATGGTTGAACAGAAGTGGAGGATATGGGCAACCTTGTCTTGTTCCATTCTAAGTGAATGCTTCAACTTTTCCCCATTCAGTAATGATTATGCTGTGGTTTGTCATATATTGGTATTGTATTCACTTTAGATAACCCCATCTAATGCCTATTTGTTGAGTGTTCTTACATAAAAAGGTGTTAGAAATTTTGTCCAATCTTTTCTCTGCATCTATTGAGAGATCATAGGTACTTTGTTTTTGCTTCCTGTTTATATGGTGAGTTACATTTATAGATTTGTGTACGTTGAACTATCCCTGCATCCCTGGATGGCCCACTTGGTTGTGATGAATTAATTTTCTTGACAAGCACCTGGATTATGCTAGGATTTTGGTTGAAAATTTTGCAATCTATAATTCATTAGGAATAGTGGTCGTGTAGTTTTTCTTTTTTTGTTGCATCCATTCTCTTGTTTTTGTATATCAGGGTTATGTTTGCTTCATAAAATGTGTTGGGAAGATATTCCATCCTTCTCCGAGTTTGGATAATTTCTGCAGATAGCACCAGTTCTTTCTATGTAGGTGTGTTAAATTCCAGTGTGTGAACCAATCTGTTCCAGACTTTTCTTTTCAGGAAGGATTTTTATGCTGTTTCAATTTCAGGTACTTGATATGGTCTGTTCAGGAATTCTATTTCTTCCTGGTGAGCCCTAGGGAGGCCTGTGTTTCTAGAAGAATTGCCATTTCCTCCCACATTTCCATTGTTGCATTAGAGTGTTTTTGTGTATTCATAATTATATCTGTATCCCTTGCATCAGTTTAATTCCCTTTATTGTTTCCTATGGACTTATTCAAGATTTTTCTTTTCTCCTTTTCCATTAGTCTCAGCCAATGGTGGCAATTGTTATTTTTTCAAGGAATCCCAGCTTTTTGTTTTATCACTTCCATATATCGTTTCCTGTTGTCAATTTCATTTAGTTCTGATTGGATCTTAATGATTTCACTTCTCTGTGTTGGTGTTGTCTGTCTTCTTTTCCAGCTCTATGAGACATCATAGGTGTCTATTTGTGATCTTTGACTTTGGATAAGCATTTATGAAATAAACTTTTCCTCTCAGACTGCTTTAGCTGTGTCCCACATGGTTTTTTTTGGAAATTGTTTGGTCCACTTTGTCATTTATCAAAGATTTTTTGATTCCACCTTGATTTCCTCATTTATGAAGTGACATTCAGCAAAAGGTTTGTTTGGTTTCCATTACTTTTGTAGAAAATGAGACCCTGTTAGGATTGATTTCTACATTTATCATTTGTCTGAAAAGAAACATGATATAATTTCTATTTTTTTAAATGTTTGAGATGTCTTGGTCCTAGATATAGGTCCAATCTATTAGAATGGCCCCTATAGCTGATGAAAGAACGTATAATCAGTGGTTTGGGGTAGAATGTCTCCTATACAAATGTCAGTCCCAGCCCATTTGTTCAGGATTCTGTTTAAGTTCACCTATTTCTTTTGATTTCTGTTTGGAAGATCTTTCCTGTGCTGTTCAGTGGGTGTTAGAAGTCTCCAACTAATTATTCGATGTTTTGTTTTTATCCATTTTTTAGATCCGTAATTGTTGATTTATGAATTTGGGTGCACCAAGTTTGGCATATATATTTATGAATGTTATGTCCTCTTGTTGAACTGTACCTTTCACCATTATAATACGTGACCTTTTTGTCTTTTATTACTTTTATTGACTTAAAAACTAAATTATTGTAATCAGCACTGCCATGCCCAACTTTCCTTTTGGCTTCCCGTTTGCTGAAATATTGTTCTTACCCCTTTACCTTAGTCCCTATTATTCATCCTTGCAGGTTAGATGTTTCCCTGAAGGCACAGATACTGGCTTGTGTTGTTATCCATTGGCCAGACCTTGTCTCTTCAGTGGGGAGATCAACCATTCACATTATTGGATATACTAATAGGTGGGCAGCTTCTGTTCAGTATGTTTGATTGACACTTTGTTGTTTTGTTTCTCTCTCTTGAGCATTGTGGTTACTGTGCTTTTTGATCTTTACTTGAGTAATTTACATTCGTGAGTCTTATTGGCATGATCCATGGTCACCACCCGTTGAATACTTCTGAGGCTGTCTTGTCTTGTGAAAATTCCCCTAAGTCCTTGCTTATATTGAATGTCTTATTTCTCCCTTCATATAAAAAACTTAGTTTTGCAGGGAAAAGTTCTAGTGGGCATTGTTCTGTTTCAGAAAGCAGTTTAGAATGGGGCCCAGTCTCTCCTTGCCTTGTGAAGTCTCAGTAGAGAAGCTGTTGTCGAATGGCTTTCCCCTTGTGTGTTACTTGTCTCTTTCATTTACAGCTCTTAGAAGGCCTCTTTAGTTAATATTTTTGTCCCCTTCCGATGACTGCATGTCTTGATGTCTTCCTGTTTGCATGAAAATTCCCAAGGGGTCCTCTGAGCTTCTTGAACTTGTATATAAGATGTTTTTAGCAGCCTGAAATTTTCCTCTATTATATCTCTAATGAGCTGTCCAACCTTTGATGTTTCTTCTCCCTTTCTTATGTAACCCTATGACCCTCATATTAGGTTTCTTCCACATAATCCCACCATCCTTGTCAGGCTTTGCCCTCTTTTCTCTTGTTCTCCTGCTCTATCTCCGTGACGTTTATTTAATGAAGGTGTTATCTTCAATCTCTGAATCTTTTCTTCTTTTGATCTACCCTGTTCTAGGCTTCCACTGTAATTGTTATAGTTCCGCGTGAATTGATTCTCATTTCAGGATTTCGGTTAAAACCTTTTCTTCATTGTATCAATTCTTTAGTGAATTTTGTTCCAGTCCTGGAGCTTTTTGTGTTCTTGTGTTGGTTATGATTTTTATGCACGTTTTTGAATTTCTTATATCCACATTCTGAAATTCCTCTTCTGTCATTTTGGTTGCCTGATTTGGTTGGTGTCCGTTTCTAAGGGGCTGGTGCTTCTCTTTGGGGGTGTGGTTTCCGTTTGGTTCTTCATATTTCCAGAGTTCCTTCGCTGATTTCTTCTCATGTTGATCAGTTTTGCTTCTTTCCTTTAGGTTTTCGTTTGGTTATTCACATCCTTGTTTAGTTCTCAGCCAGTAGGGGTGTCTGTGGGTGAATTCGACCCACTCTCTGTATAGTGAGTCAGTAGGTGCCGTGAAAATGCTGTGCAGGATGTCTCCTGTCAGTAGGTGGCCCTTGCTTGTTGAACAGGATATGCTGTTGTTTTTGTGTCCTGTTATCAGCTCTTTTCTGCGTAGGGAGGAACTCTAGTGCCTCAGTGGTGGGTGGGGCCCTGGGACTTCCAGGTGTGTCCTTTCCCCCCTCAGTGAGGCTGTCTAGGAGAGAGTCTTGGCGGAGCTGGGTTGGGTGAGCCTGCCCTCAGGCACCACCAATGCCGTTAGCAGGGGTCAAAGTTCTGTTCTCTGCTTCCAGGAAAAGCTGTCAGGGAGGGGCTGGAATGGCCCCGCTCAGCCAGAGAGTCTGTGGGAGTGGGGCTGTCTGAGACCCGCAGTCTGGAGTGGGCCTCACTTCTTTCCACCCTCCCCAACTCCATAGCTACTCCTGGGCCTCTGCCAGCAGGCCAGACCACACGCCACCAGGCCTCCCTGGACTGTGATGGCGGCGGGGAGGGTCCCTGCGCAGGAACGCCACCTGGTCTGGGCACATGGACCCCCTGTTGGAGGAGGGTTGCCCTCTAGGATGCTGATCTGCCCCTGAAGGCACACTCACCTCAGTAGGCTGTTCCCGTATATCCCTTCTGTGCCCCGGGCAATACGTGGGTGCAGGGGATCTGGTCTGCAGGTCTGACCTCTGGGTCCCAGAGTTCAAACTATATCCCCACCAGGGAGAGGAGTTCCCGTCCCAATTCACCCATGGGGAGCCCAAGCTGGGTCTATGTCTCTCAGCCTCAGGGTCTGCCCCGTTCTCCTGGGATCACCGTGCCAGCAGCACCTGGGAGGGCTGGCGGGTGGGGAGCTTACTGTTTGAGTTCCCCTTAGTCAGCTGTAGGGCCCCAAAAGGGAAGGTCCCGGTACCTGGAGGTAGCTCCAGCTGGTGGCTGTATTGTACTTCTCGGCAGCCGTGGGTAGGGCCGGGGGAGGGGAGGAGGAGGCAATATGGTGCCTGCCACGCGGCTCCGGTCTGTGCACACGGAGGTGCCGAGGGATTTGGGAGCCTGGTGCCCGTCTGCTACAGGCTCACCGCTGGTTGGCGGCAGCCGTCTCTGGGCTGGTGTCTGCAGGTCTCTCCACCCGCTGGGGCGCCACCGGCAGTCCCAAATGCAGGGGAGGAGAGAGTTAACCGCTCTACCTACCCTTGCCGCTGGTCTCCGGGCTGCTCCGGGGGTCTCACCTTCCAGTTCTCCTCCGCAGCCTCCTCCCGTGGAGTCTCCCAGGGTCTCAGGTACCCCTCCTTCCAGCCCGCATGTGATGTATGCTCGTCTTCTTGCTTCTTTCTTCTAATTTCTGCTAGAATCTGTCTTTTCTGCAGAGACCCTCTGTCTGTGGTGTTTCTCGTCCCCCATCCTGATTCTGTCCCATTTTCCCATCTTTTAAATAGGGAGGCTTGCACTGACAGTCCATGCAAACCAATGAACAGACTGTGGGGCAGAGTTTTAAATGTTTATGTTTAAATATATGCAGTGACTATCATTACTTTTTTATTATTACTAGTGTCTGATATACTCCCTTTATTCGAATTTTTAGTTAAAATTTATGTCATATATCAATTACAGAAAATGACAGCGCGCACCTGTCTCCTGCACATGGTGACTTTGTGTACTTCTGGGGGAATGGGGAGGGAGGCTTGCACCGGCTTCAGTCACCGCTGCGACACTCGTGTGACCGTTAACGTCTGCCTTTCGCTGCAGGTTCCGGTGTGTCGTCCACCCTTTTAAATCGAAGCTCACTGTCAAGACGGCCCTGGTGGTCATCGCGACCATCTGGGGCCTGGCCGTGGCCGTCATGGCTCCGTCCGCAGTCATGCTGCACGTGCAGGAAGAGAAGCACTACCGAGTGAGGCTCGGCCCCCCGAACAAAAGCAGCCCAGTCTACTGGTGTCGCGAGGACTGGCCGACCCTGGGGATGAGGAAGGTCTACACCACCGTGCTGTTCGCCAGCGTCTACCTGGCGCCCCTGGCCCTCATCGTCGCCCTGTACGGGAGGGTCGGGGTCTCGCTGTTGAGGACCGCCGCGCCCAAGCGGCGGCAGAGGGCGGCGAGGATGCTCCTGGCCGTGGCCCTGCTCTTCGCGCTGTCCTGGCTGCCCCTGTGGACGCTGCTGCTGCTGTCGGAGCACGCGCGCCTCCCCGCGCACCTGCTGCGCGCGCTCAACACCTACGCCTACCCGCTGGCGCACTGGCTGGCCTTCGGGAACAGCAGCGTCAACCCCGTGGTCTACGGGCTCTTCAACGAGAACTTCCGCCGCGGCTTCCGGGAAGCCTTCCAGCTCCGGCTCTGCAAAAGGCAAAGGCAAAAGGCAAAGCCCCCGGAAGCCTATGTCTTAAAAGCTAAAAACAAAGCGGTCGTAAGCTCATCGGCTCAGCGCGCCCAGGAGCCTGCATTCCAGAACCCACAGGGGGAAAATTTGCTTTACAGGAAAAGCATTGAAAAACCCAGCCAGGAATTAGTAATGGAAGAATCGAGAGAGGCTACCAACAACAGTGGGATTTAGCAAAAGCTAGTGGGATAGTCCTGATTCTACTGTGGGTTATGTATTTAAATACTGAGGCTTTGTCTTTTAATTATTTCTGAAAATGTTCCAAAGAAAACATTTATAGAAAGCTCTCTCCGACCAAAAAAACAGTAAACTAAAATGATCTTATGATCATAACCAATCTTATGGTTTATATAGAATATGTACAGTGACTCACACATATTTGCCTGAATAAATACATCTCTGGGGAACAGTTTTCAAAGCCTGACCTTTCCCAATGTAAACATTTGTGTAGGAGTCGAATCAAGAACGTGTGAATGTGTGTGTATGTTTTCCCCCTACAAATGGTGATAGATTAGTACTACGTTTTATCAATTCTCCCTATTATTCTGGATTTGAAATTTTAGACAACAGAGTCATTCATCTGCTTGTGTTTTTAAAATGTGCTTAGTTTTTATAGAAATGTACTGGATCACATGAAGTTCTCTGCTACTGCCTTTCTCACCCCCAATGATGTATTTGGGTTCATCTAGAAGCAGCAAGATATTTATTGTAGGCCCATGGGCATTTATGTTACAGGTGGCCCCAGCTTCTGTGTGTTGGCACTGTAGTAGCAAAAAAAGGGACACATTTCTTTGTATTTAAAAGTTGATTTTTAAAAGATTATCGAGTTGGGAACATCATATATCATTCCATAGGAGATACTGTTGGCTTTTTAGTATTTTCATAAATGAAGTTTATGCCCTGGTTGAACCCACATTTGTTACAGGGCTGATTTAGGATCCCAATTTGACTCCTTTTCTAACAGAATCTGAGAGAGAGAAGCAAATCCTTTAATAATACAGCAATTAGCAGAGGAAGGGCACCTTTTATTTGAAGTGCTTAATCAAAGTTGTTTAACAATCATCGTAAGACTCCCACAAAGTATATAGAGAGTAAGAGCAATTATTCCAAATTTCCTACTGGGGCCAACATTGAAGTCTAGCACCCTGAGTTTAGTGAATTAGTACTATTTTTAAAAAAAGAATTGACAGCCCCTGGATTCAGCTATGTTAAAAATTATGTCATGATAAAGTTTGTAAATGCTAGCTTTTACCCTAGGGTGAAAATTGGGAATTATAACAAAATAGTTTGGCAAATAAATATAAATTTCTGGGTGTGAAACTGTCATATTTTTCCAGTTATTTATGTGGTTTCAGGTAAAAGCTTTTGCTATTGTTTAGATGTGCTTTGTCCCTGTTCTGGAAATTGAAACAGGTAAAAGATGAAGAAAATATTTGCAAATCATACATCAGATAAGGGCCTCATATCCAAAATATATGAAAAACTCAAACTGTTCAATAACAAGAAATTAAATAACCCTATTAAAAAATGGACAAAGGGCCTGAACAGACATTTCTCAAAACAAGACATACAAATAGCCAACAGCAATATGAAAAAATGCTCAACATCACTAATCTTCAGGAAAATGTAAATGACAACCCCAATGAGATATCACTTCATACCTGTTAGAATGGTTATCCTCAAAAAGATGAAAGGTAAGTGTTGGTTAGGATGTGGAGAAAAGGGAACCATTGTACACTGTTGGTGGTAATGTAAATCGTATAGTAGAACCATTTTTGAAACCTATATGGAGGTTCCTCAAAAAAACTAAAAATAGAATTATCTTATGATCCAACAATCTTACTTCTGGGTATATATCCAAAGAATATCAAATCAATATGCCAAAGAGATACCTCATTCCCATGTTCATTGCTGTATTATTCACAATATAGTCAAGATATGGAAACAAAATAAGTGTCCATCAATAATGAATGGATTTAAAAAATTTGATATATATACATAATGGAATACTATTCAGCCTTAAAAAAAGAACGGACTTCTGTCATTCATGACAACATGCGTGAATCGAGAGGACACTATGCTGAGTGAAATAAGGTACAGAAAGGCAAATGTTGTGTGATCTCACTTACCTGGGGAATCTAAAAGAGAAACTCACAGAAGTAGGGAGTAGAATGGGAGTTACCAGAGGCTGAGGGGGGCGGGGGAGGGTGGGCAGGGAAGGGGGAATGTTGATCAAAGGATACAAAGTTTCAGTTACCCAGAGCAATAACTTCCAGTGATCTATTGTACAGCAAGGTGACTACAGTTAATAATAGTTTACTGTGTATTCCAAAATTACTAAAAAAGTAGATTTTACATGTTTTTGCCACAAAGAAATGAGGTGATAGGAATGTTAATTAGCCTGATTTGCTCTTTCCACAATGTATATATGTATTGAAACATCCCATTGCACCCTATAAATATATACAATTGTCATTTGTCAATTAAATTTCTTTTTTTTTTAAAGACCCATGATCATCCACTGGCCGGCTGTGCATTGGCCCTTGTCCTGCGGAGAATGTGCTCCGTCTCCATTTTCAAGCAATTTCCTCTACTCCACACCGGGAGCCGTTCTTATCACATTAGTCCCTTCCCAGGAGCAAAAGCAGCTGCTGCCTCGCTGCCCGGCGGAGCGGCCGGGCTCACGCGTCCTCGGGTGTCCGGCCAGTGCGGGCAGCGGGCAGCGCATCCGCTGACGTTCCGTCTCCTTCTGAGCCGGGACCTCCTGGCCACCGCGATCGGCGCCGTCTCCACGGGGACCTCCTGCCAGGACGCAGCGCGCACGCGCAGGAAGCAGGAATGACTCGGACGGGCTCTAGACCCAGCCACCTGCCTGCAAGCGGGGCCGCGGCCGAGCCTCCGTGCATATCCGGTCGCTGTCCGGCGCGGGCCGCGGGGCCTCGGATGCCTGTGTCCCAGCAGCAACGTGACCCGCACCCGAGAGCCCCGCCGGTGACCGAGCCTGCCCTGGTCGGCCGCGAGGGCGTGCGGGCGGCCACGGAGCAGCAGCTGGGGCTGGAAACGGGAGCTGCTATTTCAGCCCCAGGCAGGAGAGCACCTGGCTATGTTTGCGGGGGACTCACTCGTATGTCTGGGGACTCGTCCCCGCCTGAGCCTTCCCGCGCGCGCGCCCTGCAGTGCCCCGCTCGCATGCCTCCCACACGCCCCCCCGCGGGCAGCACTTCGGGCCTCAGGTTCTCTGCCATCCTTAGCAGTGCAGAGTGTTTCCACAAAGGTCCGAGAACCAGGCTAGAAACTCTTTCAAATGAGCCGCAGGGACCAGATGCCGCAGGCGCCCGAGTGGAAGCCCGTGGCCTCCACGGCAGTCCTTCTCCACTTCTGCCCACGACTCGAGTCCGTTGCTGCTGGCTGCGAACATCACCTGGCTGAGCTCCAATATTGGGATTAAAAAAAGGCCTTAGTTAAGTCTGGCAGGACAGCCAGGTCTGCTGTAAATTTGTTTAATATAGTTGCTGCCTCAGCATCCATTCTTAAGCCTGGCGTAAGTTGTCTGAAATGGATATCCAACCTAACCTCTGGCCCAGATAGAACTGCACGTTCCCGTGTGATGGTTTATGATATGGCCCTCTGGCTGACCCCAAACTCAGCACAGCCCACAGCTGCTAAACACAACAAACCCTGATGACTCACCAGAGACACGCAAATAAGTTCCCCACTTTGGGCCCCGCGTGGTGGCTCACGCCTGTAATCCTAGCACTCTGGGAGGCCCAGGCGGGAGGATTGCTCAAGGTCAGGAGTTTGAAACCAGCCTCAGCAAGAGTGAGACCCCGTCTCTACTAAAAATAGAAAGAAATTAATTGGCCAACTAAAAATATACAGAAAAAATTAGCTGGGCATGGTGGTGCAAGCCTGTAGTCCCAGCTACTCAGGAGGCTGAGGCAGGAGGGTCACTTGAGCCCAGGAGTCTGAGGTTGCTGTGAGCGAGGCTGACATCACGGCTGACCGCACGGCACTCTAGCAGGGGCAACAAAGCGAGACTCTGTCTCAAAAAAAAAAAAAAATCCCCACTCACTTTGTGCATATTTTCTTTAAACTTCTCTCTCTCCCTCCCTCCCTCCCTTGTACTCAGCTTTAAGTCTATTTCCTCCAAATGCCTTAGGTGAGGTCTGTCCCCAGGAACCTGCCTCGAGGCTTTTCCCTCCCCGTTCCAAAGCTCGGCAGGCAACCGTCCTGGCATCAAGTTTCATCATAGCCTTTTCCCACCCTTTTTTCTTACCAAAAATTGTGTTAGCCATTATGATCTGTGGGTCTCAGAGACAATCCTGCCCACTGCCAATCTGATCTAACTGCAAGGATTGGGTCATCATATGCCAAAAGTCAGAAATCCCACCCCAAATCAAGAATTACTAATTATTTCAGGGATATAATAATTAAGAAGCACAAAGCAGAGCAAGGAGAAACCCAGGATCTCTGATGGAGTTCCCCCGTCCTTTCTTGCCACATTGCTCCATTGTATCTACCCTAAGTGTTCAATTTAATGAACAAATTCAAAGAAAACACAGGCATGTAACCATCACTGATGGAAAGAATAGAACATTACCAGAACCCCAGAACCCTCCCTTGTGTCTTCTCAATCATCCCCTTCCTCCCCAGAGGTAACCATGATGCTGGCTTCCAACACTTAATTTTGACAGTTTTTGGACTTCATATAATTGCATATGGAATATATTCTTTTATGTGTGACTTCTTTACTGAATGCATTACTTTTGAGCTGTATCCATGTTGTGTGTAGCACGTGTCGTTCATTCACTTTTATCACTGTACAGTTATTTTATTCTCTGAATATATCACAGTTTATGTGTCTTTTTTGCTGTGGATGATCATTAGAGTTGTTTCAAATATTTGGATATTATTAAAAAAGCACTCTTGTAATTGTCTTTTGGTGTATGTGTATATGTTTTTTTATTGAGTATATATAATTTGGAGAGATATTCTAGTTCATATGATATACATAGGGTCAAATTTAGTTCACGCTAAGAAATGTTCCAAAGTTCTTGTTCCACTTTGCTCTTTCACCACCTAGGTCTGAGAGTTTAGGTGCTCTGCATTCTTGCCAACAATGGGCATTTGATTTTCTTCATTGTTTTACATAAATGAGTAATGCTTTTTACTAATTTATTTTCTCTCTCCCTTCACTGAAGTGGGAGAAATTTTAAGGAAGAATCTCTGACAAGATCATAGAGAATGGGAAAAAGTTGAAAACATTCCCTCTAAGAACTGGAACAGGAT